TTTGCCACCCTGTCTGCTGGTTGGGCCTTGGGAGCTGTGACAAACCTACCTCCAGATGCTGGAGGCTAACTTCAGTGGCCACTTAGCTTAACACCTCCTCCTCCTCCTCCTCCTCCTCCTCCTCCTCCTTGGCAGGGCTAAAATCAACACCACAAATTCTTATTCTACAAGCATCTTGAGCTCCGGTTTCAAATTTCCTTGCTTTCCTGAGTTAAAGACAGACTCTTGGTGTTAAGGGACCTGGAGTTGCTTACAGTCTTGGAGGCTCAAACACAGAATTACTAATTTGCGGAACCTCTGTCAGTGGAGATTTCTCATAAAATGGACCCAAAGGTCACTGTTTCATTAAGTTGTTGCATTCCCCTTCTTACAACCACTCTTTAATTGGAGATCGCTGTAGGGATGCTCAGGGACTTAAAAAAGGTGGGCTAAGACCAGGCAAGGCAATTCCACCGTGCCCATGGTGGGTGCACGCAACAGGCAGGGCCTCTTTCGGACAGCAGGCACCCCAGTGCTGTGCACAGCTGGAAATCTAACCCTTGGGGGTTTTAAAAAGTCACCTGGCAACTGTGAGCCTCCTTGTACCCTGAGTTGCTGAAATCTGATATTTCCTGCTATTTGTGGGACATGTAGTTGAGGTTATTTCAATTAAATGCACATCTGTGCTCAGAATACCCTACCCTCCTCTGTGTTACGTAATCGTGAACTTTGTTTTGGGGTTGGGATTCTGATGATGAGGATTGATGTAGCTACAGGCACAGCTTAATGAATCTGTAAGACCGGAGATGGGGCATCAATGTCTGGACTGCCTTTGGTTGCCTCTGGTCTTGTAGATGGTTAAGAGACTAAATTCTTTCTCAAAGTCAGTCTCTCTTTCCCTCCCTCTCTCTCTCTCCACACACACCCCAACACACACACACACACCTCCCTCTTTTATCAGGGAAAACTTTGCCACTAAGTACCATTTCCATGTCTGAAAACAGACATTCGGCCAGCAAAGAATTTATCTGATTCAGGTCTCTGTTGGGTGGCTAGGTCAAGATTCCACCTACTGTTTGCCAACACACAGTAAGATAACATTTCACACAAACCAAGTGCTATACATACAACAGACAGTGGCCTTCTTGGCCCCCAACTCGTGATCCCATCACACTCAGCTCAGGGAAAGCAGGACTCGCTTTAGGCTATAGCTCATACTTTGGCAGGAAACAGCATTTGCACCGAAGCTTTATAACGTTTGTTTAGCTCACTTCAAATATTTTACTTTAAATAAATCATCTAAACAAAATTTAATTCTTTTCAGTTGTAAAGAGAGAATGTCCCATGTTATTAAAAGACAGTAATCCTTTTCATACTTCCTTCAGGTCTGATTTTAAAAGGACTTTTTTTTTTTTTTGATAGAATCATCATTGGCCTTTCAGACCAACCCAAAGACTACTGTACTGTAAGGAATATAACCATGTTGTGCCTCAATTACTGCTTATTACCTACAAAATTATAAATTACTGTTATCACTGACTTGCAAGGAGAAGACTAAAAATGTTCTACACGTTTACTTCGAGTTTTCTCTTCACTATTCCTTTCAGAGGTCTGAGAGAGCCCCAAACACTACCAAGACAGATTAAGCCAGTCAATAAAGCAGGAATTCTGTGGGATTTTAGAAACAGACAAGGCAATGTCACTGTTGGAAACAATGCAACACTCATCTCACTGCAGATAACCAAAGTAAGTTTTAGATCTGAAGCTATGTAATCAGTCCATTTTATCTGTGTATGCACGTATATATACCTATCTAAGTATTTATTCCTGTCTCATTCCAAAAGAGGATTGGAAGTAGTTTACACACATACACGCTAAATAATCCAAAACACATAAAGGTAGTAGACATATAAGACAAAGTCAGGAGAAAGTTTATTACTCAAGAACCACATGCTGTTAGAGATGGGGTACAAATTTATTTCTAGCTTCCTAGCAACTAAAGCAAAGATGGTTTAGTTGACGTGAATCCATCGAGATATAATATGCCTTTACAATTTTTTTCTAGGGCTAGGCAATGAAAATATAGAAATACATTCAATTAAATCCAGAGGCTTCTGCTCTTTTTTTTTCCACACCGTGCAACATGTGGGATCTTAGTTCCCCAACCAGGGATCGAACACGTGACCCCTGCAGTGAAAGCAAGGAGTTTTAACCACTGGACCACCAGGGAAGTTCCCCCACCCTGTCACTTTTTACATCAGCAAAGGTCAGCCTCACTTTACCCTCCTGCTTCATCTAATCACTGTCTTAAGAGTCAAGTTACTGTTACTAGTACCACAGGTGTTTATTTCTGGATTCACCTACACTGTTACCCCTGTTTGCAGTACCAATGCTTCTCAACCAAGGGTGATGTTGCTCCCCAGGGGACATTTGGAAATGTCGGGAGATATTGCTGGGATGCTACTGGCATCTAGTGGGTAGAGGCCAGAGATGCTGCTAAACATCACACAATGCACAGGACAGCCTCCACCACAAAGAGTTATCTGGCCAAACTATCAGCAATCCTGAGGTTGAAAACTCTGCAGTAACTAATGGGGTATATATGTGCACGTGTGATCTTGTTTGAATGAGACAGAAATTGGTCATTTTTCTGGTTTTAGAACACACTAGCCTTAGTTTGGACTTCAACCTTCGTTTGTCTGCTCTAGGAACCCATATACCAGAAGAACTTTCATAATTGACGTAGGAGGAAAAAACGAGCTCTAAGGTTTGTTCTGGATCCTGGGTATAATGACAAAGGAATTTCAAAATAGGAGGTCTTTTGGCCGCAGCTAAAGGACATTGGAATAAGTCTACCTGAACGTGCTATGAAAATCTGGGCATTGCTTAAAAAAACTGGAAGTCATCCCATCTCATAACTCGATCTGAATAGATAAACCTCTACAAATAGAATGTGCTTTACAGCATTGATGGAAGAACTGCTGGAGAGCAAGAGGGAGTAAACAGATGGAAAGAACACCAAAGGAAACTGAGACATCACCATCTGATGATATCATCTTGATCTGGACCAAGAACCACACGCCTGGGCTCTTCCCACACTGACCTGCTGGACGCAGGTGCACAGAGTCAGTGATCTCCCTGGTGCCCCTCCAGCTGGGTGGCTTCTCCCTTGCCAACTTGCCTCTCTCAGTGACAGAAGTCACAGACTCATTCACATGTACAACATTTATATTTACAATACAATGTACAACACATGTACAATAAATATTTAATATGACCAGTTACAAACTTGGTTTAGTTTCGTCATGCCCATCCTTCTATTCTTCTTTTCTTTCCTTTTTGTTTTCTAATAAGCCACCAGTATTCTACATTTGGAAAGTCTAGCCCATAGTGGATAAACTAATAATGAAATGTAGCTTTCCTCTCAACGATCTCAATAATCATCCTTCTTGATTCTTGCAACATAAAGTCAGGTAATTCAAGGTTTAGGCTGTTTCTGTACGAGACTGGCTATATGTTTTTATTACGCTGATAAGCAGTGTTCCTGCCTGACAGCAGTGAGATGGGCAGATGTAACCTATCTGTGTTCATGCAAATCGAAAGGGTCAGCTAGAAGATCTGAGGAGTTCATTAAAGTCTGTCTCTGCTTCAACTAGGAGGTACTTTCTAGGGAAATGCAAACATCTTCATCGACATGGATACAGAGGAAAACTTCATCAATTTAGACTCGACTCTGCTCATCCAAAAAGGAATGAAGCTGGAAGCGGCCTCCAAACCATCCCTAAACAAAATTTCCTCAGAGAGTCTCTGGGAAGATGATTAAATGTAATAGTTTATACACATGTTTTAAGATCAACTGGTGTGTTAATCATAGCTAATTCTTCTTTCTGCATAATTCCGAGGCTCTACTAAGTCATACTTGGTTGGCCTCCTTTGAGTTATTCTATGTACTTCCTTACCTTTAAAGAAAAATTCTTTTATTAAATCTATAATTTAATTTTCATTAATTCAGCCAGCACTTTCATCCAGTGTATAGTGTATAATTGTCTAATATCTCTCAGTCTCAAAAAATAGTGAGATATAGATATGTATGTGTATATATATAGTAATATATGTATATATGGTAATATATACAACGAACCTATGCATCCATTGTCTAAATGGGAACGCTTGTTCCCATGTGAAAGCTGCTTTTCAACTGTCATCAAAGCCCACTTCTCTAAGCCTAAATGGCTCAAAAATACCTTCTAATAGACTCCATGGCTTGGTTAATCCTGCTTATCATACTAATTTGACAGTGACATTATGAATACTCCTTTAATGAAACACTTCAGAAAGCTATCTCGAAAGCATATGAATGTGAGGGGACTAAAACAGTGGTTTGCTAATAGATGTGGGCATGCCTACATGTGGGGATGACATTAAATCTGTTGCTATGCTCTCTGTACAGTCCCAGATGGCTTTCAGAATAAGCCATGTTAGAGAGAACCTTCAACAGCTCAGTAAAAAATAACAGGATGGCCAAACCATTGCCAACCTAATGAACTCTTGTTTTCTCTCTACCAACAGCAACAGGGGATGTGCCCAAGAGAAAGGGCAAAATGGTGGGGGTGAGGGAGGAAGAAGGGCAGCTGTTTGGCTTCATAATGATAGAAGGAAAATCTCTCCTAGATTATATATAATGTTTGGTTTTACTGGATATCATTATCTTAGCCGCTATGACTGCAAATGCTATTAGCAGTTAAAAGGCACATGAAGTTATCTGGTCCTTCCTAAAACCTCATCAGACCGTTTGTCTTCTAAATTTCTCAGAGCAACAAATTCCAACGGAAACATCTACATTTGTCTCAGTTGTGCTTCTGTTCGAGGATTACCATTGACTTAAATTGTCTGTAGAAAGGTGAGATGATCCCAACCTAGACCTACAGAACTAAAATAGGCTGAAAACTTACACCACCGTTTTCCTTGTTGCACTATAAAATGCAAAATAAATATTAATAGCATATTTTTAACAAACTTACTTTCAGTGCAAATAGGACAGCATCCTTTCCTGTTGAGAATTTTACCCTAATCAAGAGAAAAACAAATAAGATTTCAGTGTTAAGAAACAGGGTCTGCTGAGGACAAAACTCTTTTTTAAATCTAATACCAGACAAACCAATGAAATCAGTCCCAGCTGTATTTGAACTCAATGCCCAGATGGTGATGATGGTGGTAAAAATGAAGTTTCAAGTATCAGGTTCTATGGCCAGGCAGAGTCATTCAGAAAGCTTTCCTGTTTTTATCCTCTGAGAAATACAATATCTAAAGGCCTCATTGGTGTGATTTTTCTCACATGGAGCGAAGATGGAGGCAGTCTGGATTCCACCTTTTCACTGATACCAAAATCTAGCCCTCTAGAGACCAAGTACACACACATAGAAATGGGAACTGGCTGTCAAGCTATCAATCCATGCAAGGCCTTCATTCTGTCTTTGCTTATTGGAAGGGCCCAAAAATAAACAGTAACCCAAGCTTGGGCCTATGCATATGAACAATACCTGTGCTACGGACCAAATTCAGTCTGATTTCTTCTTTCAGAAAGCAGTATGCTATCCCTGTTAAGTCACTATTATGTAGTCAAAGCCAATGAGGCTGAGGGTTTTGAAATCCTGAGTAATTTTCCATTACCTTTCTGGAAATACAGTGTAATCTCCTCTACTTCATTTATTTCAATTTTTTGTTGATGCTTGACATTTAAAGGAAGAAGCATATTCTCAGGACCCTTATCAGAGAATGGATCTTTCTTATCTCTGACTCAGTGGAATCACAGGGAAAAAGAAATGTGGAAGAAGATTAACATTTAGGAAGCACATGCTATGGAACAAACATCCTACTAGATATTTCCCCTAGGTTATCTAACATCAGGTTAATTGTAAGGATTTTATAAGTTAATATTAAGAACATATTAGGGTTTAATTAATATTATGTTATTATAATCTGTGTTATTAAGATGCACAAGAATTTTATGAGCTGAGCATTTTCCTTCTTATAGATAAAGAAATTGATGTCACGCAATACAAGGGTAGTAGAACCCAAAATCAAACCTGATTTTGTGTGACTTTATAGGCCACGTTCTTTCCACTCCAGATTTTTTTTTTGCGGTACGCGGGCCTCTCACTGTTGTGGCCTCTCCCGTTGCGGTGCACAGGCTCCGGACGCGCAGGCTCAGCGGCCATGGCTCACGGGCCCAGCCGCTCCGCGGCATGTGGGATCTTCCCGGACCGGGGCACGAACCCGTGTCCCCTGCATCGGCAGGCGGACTCTCAACCACTGCGCCACCAGGGAAGCCCTTTCCACTCCAGATTTTTAAGATGAGAGAGGTCTCATCTTAATCTTTAAGAGAACTTAACATTTATTTGGTATCTGCTATACAGTAGAAAGAATGTTATACGTTCTTCTTACTTTATCTCATTTATGCTTCACAACAACCCTCTAAATGTAGATGCCCCTTTCCCATCTTTATAGGAAACTAAGGAAACAGACCACAGAGAGGTGGCCCAAGACTTGTGTCAAGGCCACACACTGGTTTACTACCTGTCAACTGCATCAGGAATAGATTTAGGTACTTAAAAAAAAAAATCATACTAACCAAAAAAAAACCAAGACACTAGTTGATTATTGAAGAATTAGAACCATGTCTGATTCATTTTTGCATCAGCTAAGCCTTAAAAGGTACATTAAAGGCTATGACAAGTTTGAATGAGACTTAAAACTGGCAGCCCTCCCATGGCTGGGGCACCATGACAATTTTATGGCCAAGAGCTCTCTTATCTGTTTCTATTTGACACAGAGGTCTCCTTTGGCTTCTCGTGACTGAAAACAGTTGAGGACAAAGCCAGAGGAGGTTGGCTCAGGCTGATGGAATGATAGTACCAGAGGGTGGCATCAGGTACGCTAACGGAACGGAGCAGAGCTGTATAAACCAAGTCCTCAACAAAGGGTGACTATGATTCCCTACATCTGCACCTCGACAGAAACAGCCAGCTCCCTTCTTCAGGAAGTGAGAATGGGGCTGGTCAGATCACTAAATTAGGCAGGGAATAAATCAAGTGCAAGCTATGAAGTCTGCGCTCCTGAGTTACATGTAACTCGCTGGGGAACTCTGGACCCGCTGTGACCTCATCAGTAAGAAGGGTCTAGTAACGACACCCACCTCAGAGGGGTGGTCTCAGCAACAAACAAGATTGGTCCTGTGACTACAGAGGAAGTTTCAGTACATATTAACACTGATGAGATGACAGTGTCATAACGACCTTGTCCCCAGCGGAACCCTCAGTCCCTCTCAACAAAGGCACTCCTTTGCCCCTGGGGGACTGTCAGGGAGGGAATCCAACCACAAAATTCTTTTTCAACAAGGCACGCATACTTCTGGAAAAAGAGATGTGTAGTAGCCAGGAAGGACAGAGCAGGAATACAGTCTGCTTCTCCAGAAAATTTTTTTTTTTAATTTCCCCAGGCAATGCAGGGGAGGGGAAGTAAGTGTTTAACAGGATTTCCATGGTAGAACTAAGTTATCTTCCAAAGTGCTTGTGCTGGCCCCTGAGGAGGGAAAGTATGAACCAGAGGAATGGTTGGAAAAATGCCTAGAAACAGAAAGTAAGTCCTGGGGCAGGAGCCGGGCACTGCCTGATGGGCTCTGACAAGCCGAGGAGGGGTGAGGCGGGAACAGGCCCGCCTGGAGGGACGGATGCTCCTGGCCCAAATACGGCCCACAAAGAAGAGACACTAATGAGATGCTGGTGACTGAAAGAGCGTTGACCTCCCCATGGCAAGCGGACAATGAGAACCATCACGCCTGCAGCACAGCCCTCTGTTTTTGTCTGTAGAATAAGGAAGCCCATTATTACTAACATGTGCTGCCAGAGTTCATTAGCAGCAAGGGTTCCCCGAGGACGGGCAGAGATGATGTGATCCCATTTTTCCCAATGAATATTTATAAGCAGACCATGCTCAAGTCTTCTTATTCTATCTCCTGGTTTTTTTTTTTTCTTCTTTTTTTCTTTTATAGGAGGTTTTCAGTTTTATGTCTGAGGCTTTTTAAAGCAAGACTAATTAGGGTTTTTTTTTTTTCTTTTTTTTCTGCCCCTTTTATTCAGTTGTGCAATAGCAACAGCTGTTGTTTTTTTGTGCCTCATTTGGCCCTCAAGTAAAAACAGCAACTTTTTGTTTATAATAATAACAGATGTGAATAAAATTAAAAGCTGTCTCTAACAGAGAAGGGAAGACATGTCCTGAATATATGGATGTATTTTTTCATTCACTGGATGGTATTGAATAGGCTTGACATTTTCCCAAAATGCATAAAACCTTGAAAGGTTTCAAGTTGCTGAGGTGAATTCAATGAAGCTCATGCTTTGGAAGATAATGGTTGCTTTATTCAGTGTGCTGGAACTGTGGGTCTCTGAAAAGAGATATTTCCATAAGGATGCTATTTCCATTTGGGGCTACAACAGAGGCCAGGGTTAGAGAGGGAAAACTTCAGTAAAGGGGCTGGAGGGTGCTGCTGGGCAGGTGAAACCCCTTGGGAAATTTACTAATAAACAACCACATATTCCTTTGAATGGTTAATGGGAAGAAAATTCTGATTTGAGAAGAGAGAGAGAAAGGAGGAAAATGCAAAGGACGGTTATGATGCTCAACAGAAAACCCAGCAGAAGAAACAAGGGAGCAGATCAAACAGGAGTTGGAGACATTGAAACAAAGAACTGGGAGAGGTCCGTAAGAAATGGAGCAAGGTAAGAGCTATTGTCCCGCTAGGCTACAATCTGAGTGGGAACCATAAAAGCAAAGGAGCAAGTTTTGCAAGGGACATGTGGCTGTTTGCGAACTTGGCAATTTTGGAAGATCTGGATTTTGTGTTCAGAAGGTGGTAGGTGACCATGCCACACACAGGATGGTTCTCAAGATGCTCAGGTAGAGAGAAAGTCAACCTGCACACATACCTGAGGGCAACTGCTGATGGGAACGCACTGCTTCTTGCGACACTCTGTCTTGCCTTTCACACAAGCACAGATGGTGCAGTTGACAGACGACCACATCTCTCCATCCTACAGGAGAGAGCACAGGATTCTCTATCAGCTGGAGGCTGATGGGAGTTAATCCAGCAGGCTGGGATTTGTCTGTCAAGGAAAGCATTTCTTACCCTGAGTGATGGATGCCATCATTAGACTAAATTACTCTGAGGTGTTCATCTACATCTAACTGATTTGATAGAAAGATCAGATTGGAGGGGGTGTGTGTGTGTATGTGTGCATTTCCCCACCAGGATATAAAAAGAATTCTCGTACATCTAACCAAGTCATATTTGCATCTTGCACCTCCTACATTGTTTACTTAGCTTCACCCTGGGAGACAAACAAGAGTTTTCATACATGATGCAACCACAAGGGTCTAATTTTTCCATCTCATAGGACTGAAATGTTTGAGCTGTCCCAGATGCCAGCAGTTAATTGAGATGTCCGCAGGTGGTTAGTTTATTCCCAGATGTGACATGGTTCTGGCCCACACAGGGCACGAACATGCAAAGAACACTGGCTAATTCATATGACTCCCATTGCCAGGAGGACACCTGACCCGTAAGCCATCTGAAAATGTGGAGCCCGGACAGAAAATTCCAAGAGCCATTTGTCCCATGTCCCTGCCTGTCTGATACTCTCCTCCCAAAAAGCTGGGTAGCACTTTGGGACACATTTTCTAGTCCAGAAAGGGCTGTTTGAGGAATTTCTTTGACTCACTGGATTTATAATTGGCAATTGCCGAATGCCCAGTCACAAAAACCCTGCACCTCTGGAGAACATGCAGGAATGTGCATCCTTGTTTGTGAGAAAGGAGATTACAGGAAAAGCAAGGACTCCTTTCTGGGCTTATGGATCTAAGCAGCAAATTTTAGTAGAAACAGAAAAACTAGCCCAGATCTTTGATGTTGACTATTTCCCTTTCTCTTCCTTCTCATTTTATGAAGGTATTTTAAGGACTACCTACTCTTCAGTGCCTTTTATTTCTCTGACTGAGTCTGTCTCCAAGAGCATCTGACTACTGCAAATTCTCTGAGTGCACATTTCTAGGACTCTGTAAATTACTTCAGGCCTCGTCTACTTACATGAAGGGACCTTTCCAGGGCGAGGAGCCTGGAAAGCACTTTGCACACAAAACTGTCATCAGAGTGAGCCTACTGCATCTGGAGGCTCTGGAGACAGAGGAAGGCTTTGTGTAAAGTGGACACGTGAGTGGCTCTGGAAGCCTGGTGTAACCACAACACACACACACACACACACACACACACACACACACACACACACGGCGGCCTTCCCTTAGGCATGACACCTCAGGGCTTCTTACAGATGCCGTAAGAATCAAGACTCTCCCTCCACCTCTGTAATAGGAAGTCCAGCTAGGTGCAGCAGGCCTGAGGTGCCTCTGTCTCTGACTTGATTCTGAGGGTCTCAATTCTCATGGTATCCTGAGATGATGCCTTCAGATACAGAGAGACTCCCTCCACCCCTGGGGAAAACAGTCTAGATGGGAAGCTCTTTGGACAAAGCCAACAATCTTCATCCAGATGTTTAAATGGTGGCTGCACAACTTCCCAGCCGGGCTGTTAGAAAACGATGTAAAACATACCTGAGATGGGCAGCAGACAGCCCTTCTAGCTCGGCTGGGGCAGGGCTCTCTCACCTTTACTCACCTGCTCTGCTGGCCACATACCCTGTGAACATCCTCACCCGAACATCTTCCAAATGAGAAAATCTCTCTTCGAAAAAGTAATTTAAGTGGAAAAGTTCTAAAAGAATCAGGGTCTTGGCAAGGAGCACTGAGAATCTCTGACTGCCGGAGATGCCCCTGGGCATTTGGGCACCCGCAGCTGTACCATCCAGGGACATCCTCAGCTCAGCCCCAGCCACTGGCCACCACATTTGGAAAGGGGAATCATGTTTTACAGGTTTAAAGTATTTTATAAAGCAAAAGTAAAGCCAAAGAAAAACACGTTTTCAAACAGTTGCTTCTCTGTCCCTGTGTGTCCTTGATTCTAAATACATATGTATATATAATATTGTAATATAAATAAGTACATTTATACACATACACACATGTATATATACAAAAGATGGAATACTGCAACCTGCATTTTGTCAGGAGCTTTTTACCACTCAGTATCGTACAACAGTTCCCATGAGCTTGGCTCGTGACATACCCGGAAAATCTTGTTTCCAAACTTGCACACTTTGATGTCTTCCGGGGGCACTCGTAGAAGGCACTCCTCACAACAGGCCTCCTCGCCTTTGCTGCATCCACCAGGGTGGGAGCACTTCTTCTTACACACTACAGTAGAGTCCTGGGGGCCAAAAGGCAAACTGGACATTAAAAACGATTTCCACCTCCATCAAACATCCTACCTCGCCTTCCTTTAACAACCCACAACTAACTGCTTTAAAACATATCTTGAAGATACCATATGTTAATTTGTTGCCATAAATCTTTCATTCACTTCAAAATGTTATTTGCTGACTTAGTACCTGGACCAGAAGAAGCAGCAGCTATGTGACATGTGCTCCCCACCTTCCAAGGGTTTATCATTAAATGCTCAAGAGACTGATGATTCTGCTAGAGCCAATGTGTGGCAAGAAGCCCTGGGTCACTGTGGGCCAACAAGCTTCCTTCTTTCTTCCTACCCTTTTCCTCTTTTGCAGCCTTCATTAACTGTGCTCCCTCTGTTCTCCTCCATGGCTTTATGACACCTTCTAGAAGTTTAGTGTAAAGGTTTAGCATACCTTTGATCAAAGAGTAAAAATTTAGAGCTCAGGTTCCATGTCAAGATGAAATTCCTTACTGTATTCTACGTTCACAAAGGAACCAAATAAGCAGTTCCAAAGCGGGGCCTGGGTTCTAGGGCTCTTCCATAAACTGTGTGACCTTAAATGAGGCCACTTAAACTCTGAGGGTGACAAAGTTTATATCTGTAAAGTAAAGGGGCATGGCTTGATTTCTAAAGAAGTAGCATTCTATTAACAAAATAGCCAAGTAAATTGTGCCTACTTATTCACTCAACAAAGCATGGAAGAAATGTTCAGAGCAACTAAAAAAAGTAGATTTCTTCAGTTCCCCAGCCAACAAGCTGCAATTTCTGGAGTGGACTGTCAGGTGGAATGACTGTAAGAGCAAAACATTTATGTAACTTATCAGAAGACAAGATGGAAGAAAGAAGTGTCCCAGGGTAGATGGGCAATGACCTCAAAGTGTTGAGTTAGTGTGAGCCAACAGCAGGGAAATGAGAGACTAAACCCCTCTCCGAAACATAGACCCTATTAGTAAGCTTGGAGAGATGACTCACTTCTGAGCACGGCATACAGATAGGTTGTGTAAGTCAACAGATGTAACTTCTATAGCTTCTACGTTAATTCTATGACTTCAAGAGGCACTTCTGGTACCATCTACTATACTCCCACTAACTCATCCACTTAAAATTAATATGACAATGAGATGATCCTTCAAAAAAAAAGGCATTTATTATTCTTTATTTTTAAGGTTCTAACCACATTATATAGTGAATAGGATGTAGAGTTGAACAAGACCAGGGTAGAATGCCAGTTCATTTATTGTGTGTTATCTTGTGCAAATCCATCTCCCTGAGCCTCAGATTCCTCATCTTCAAAATGGAGATGATAATACCTACTTCTCAGGTTTATTGTGCAGTTTAAATGAAATATGTAAAGTACTTGGCACAGTATCTGGCGCATAGAAATTATTATAAGTCAACTCATAAATTGGAAAAAAAATCCTTTGTCAAACTGTATGTCTTGATTTCAAGTTTGAAAAACAAGGGCACTCACTAGCTCTCGAATAATGCATACTTCATGGTAGATTTCCCAACTTTCATTAAATACACACCCACACCCCCCCCCCACACACACACACAAACACACACACAGTACCCATTAGATCATTGCCTGGCACTGGGTTAAGCAATGAGAATACAGAGATGGATGATGTGCTCTGTCTTCAAGGAACTCACGAAGAGGAGAGATAACCATCTAAACAAAGACTGCAGTATAATGTGGTAAACAGAACTAGTAAAGGTGTAGGGGTAGTAGAGAAGATGGAACAATTACCAATCTAGGTGGGTCAGGAAAGCCTCACTAAAGGAGGTGACACCTGAGATGGGCTGCTGTGGATGAAGAGGAGTTTGCTAATCAAATTTAAAGAAGATGAGGACACGGCAGGCAGAAGAATCCTTAAATTTGAAGGCATGGAGACCTGAAACCATACTGTGTTCAGAGAACTATTTCCTGTACCTGTCATGGCATTGGATGGGGATGCCGGAGAGGGAAGCTCTAAATAGATAAAAAACAATACTGATCATCCCAAATGATTGCAGCCTGATTCTTCAAGCATCCAATTTACCAGAAATGACCATGAACTCATACTCTGATAAAAACATCTTTAAGGAATGGTTATACTTCTTTTGAGTACTGGGACATATTGCCTAATCATCTCTCAAAGAATCTCTTAAAGAATGAGACCCAAGGGACTTCCCTGGTGTGTGGTGCAGTGGTTAAGAATCCACCTGCCAATACAGGGGACACGGCTTCGAGCCCTGGGCTGGGAAGATCCCACATTCTGTGGAGCAACTAAGTCCGTGCGCCACAACTACTGAACCTGCACTCTAGAGCCCGCGTGCCACAACTACCGAAGCCCACGTACCTAGAGCCCGTGCTCCGCAAGAAGAGAAGCCGCCGCAATGAGAAGCCCGTGCACCGCAACAAAGAGTAGCCTCTGCTTGCTGCAACTAGAGAAAGCCCACGCACAGCAACAAAGACCCAAAACTAAACAAATAATGAATTTATTTTAAAAAAATTTGTCTGCAAAAAAAAAAAAGACAAAAAATAGAATGAGACCCAAAATATTGCAAGCATAACTAATTTCCATTCCTGGGATGCCTGGCTTTCCTGTAATCAAGAGAATTGGAAATGTGATGTGTTTCATCAAAGGCTCAGTATCCCCAAGAGGAAGCTATAACCTGTGAAATTCCTGGAGAGAAAGAGAAGTCCTGAGGATGGAGGCCAAGGCGGAAGGAGTGACTATATGTTTAGCACAGGATAATACAAACCACAGAGGAGAGGACGGAGCCTCAGGAAGGTAGTCCCGGGCTTCAGAATTACTCACTGTTCAGTGCCAGGGAACAGACAGTTCAGACCTTACTGGGCCACCTCCCTGAAGAAGTGCATGCTACTTAACAAAGCATGCCTCAGGTAACCAGGAACTTCTGAACTCTAATCCCAGCTACTGACTCATAGTTGACATTGAGAAAAGCTCCTCTTTCCCTCTATAGCCCTCTGGCTATTAAAAACAAAACAGCAACTATCACCACCAAAATGTATTATCCTAAACTCGTGTCACATAGATGTTTGGGTTAACTCACTAATGAATGATCCTAAAGTCCTCCATATAAATGATTTTCTCGGTTTCAGAAATAAATCACCACATAAACATAGTCTAGAAACGTGTGATATGTATCCCTTTAAATTTCTGAAGCTGTGGAATTCTTTCTTTACCAGTCACTAGACTTGTGGTTGCCTTTTGAGAAAAGTGTGCAATGACTCAAGTAAGAAATGGTACAATGAACAACACATAAATACTCTCTTCCCGAGCTACCAGGTTTATTTTTATGATAAACTGTGAATCCATGCCTTTTTCTCTTGAATGTGATTAAAGCCATTTTTATTGCCAGGTGCATCAGAGAATTCATCTTGAATAACTAGAGCCAGAGAACATTGCCACGTGCATTTGTCTGATTTTTTTAGAAAGTCCTTCAGGAAGGACAGCCGCTAAGAGTTTAATTCTCACCACCAGGAGCTAACTTACTGGTCTTGGGAAGATGACAGTGAGTTGTAATTTGGGTCCTATGTTTGAACATTCTTGTGACCTTGAAGTAAGATTTTAGTCATAAAGTGACATCAATAATGCCTCCTTCCCATAAATAACACATTATCATGTTTGGCTATGTTAACACTAAAAACCAAAAATGCTATCAGTGTTGGACCACAGCCCCTCAGAACCACCTTACCCTGCAGGTACATGCAGTGCAGTTATCATAGAGAAAAGAGGATCCATTGTCATAAACATCACTGCGAAAGAGGCAGCTTCCAAACGGGAGGTCAAATACTTTCCTCTGACCTAGAGGGAAGCAATGGCATAGCGTTAGCAAGACAGAAGCCAGGTATGTCCCACTTCATCATCAGCAATTACATCACAGAAGTGTTAAACATTCTCACAAGACCAGCTATTCTGCTGCACAAAAACAGAGCCTTGGGTCAGACGTTCCCAGGGGATCCCCAGGAATCATGACTTTAGACAGTTTTTGCGAAAGAGACTCTGATTCCACACTGAATCCTTTTAGTTCAACAAATCTTTATTACGAGTTCATCATAGTGAAGCAGGATGACTAAGACATCCTATCCTGACAGAGCTCAGTCTACTGGGGAAATACACCCACAAAAGATGATTTCAATACAGCAAGATGGTCAGCTCTGGAAAGAAGCCAATCTGGGAACTGTGGGGACAGGGAGGGAAAGAAGACTTCTTGGAGGATGTGATGCCTGAGCTGTATCTGAAAGAATAAGTAAAATTATCCAGAAAGTGGGTATTGGCAGGGAAGAGGCAGGAGAAGTCAAGATATCCCAGGAAGGACTAGGATGGGGAAAAAGAACTAATGAGATAGCATCTCAGTTGAAGAAATGATAAGTCCATTGGCATGAAGGGTGACGCTAACTCAAAGAGCACAGAGAGGCAGACTCCAACTCCCCCAGGGTCCAACCTTCCACAGGCATCACACCGCTTGTAGAATTACCTTGGTTTTCCCTGATGTGAGGATTTGATTGGGGACCCAAAGGACCAAAAAAGCAACCCCGAATAAAGGGTACAATCCAACATCCTCCTTTCTTTCAGTATTTGAGTCTCTACTCCTTGGATCACATAAAACATCCCTGAAATATTACTTCAATTAAGGACTAAGTTGAGAAGTCAAAGATTAATCATCACTCATCAGATTTATACCCACACTCTTCCTGTAAAAAGGTTAAAAGCAATCTCTATTTATTAGGAGGCCCAATGAAGCGCTGAAATACCTATAAGCACATGCTAAATGCTATTCTCAGAATTAGAATTGTTCACATCAGAGAGATATTGCTGTCTTTTAAGAATTAAAAATAGCTCTGCTTCAATTGAGTATTTTTTTCAAATTGTGATAACCTGGTTTGCCTTTTTCCTATCTTTTATAGATGGCTGGACTGGTGGATTGATACATCAGTAGACTGCTGAACAAAAAGACCCTTCAATGAGTTTATCCCCCTGAACAAATGTGACCAATGGCTTGAATTATCCCTCTAGAAAATGTAAATTTTACCTAAGAATATTGGTGTAAGGCTCTTAGCACGGAGCCTGGTACTCATTAAACACCCAATAGTTGGCAGGTGATAAGTGTTATCATTACTAGAGGTGGTATAATTCAAATATGGTCCCGGGCTGTGTCACCCTACGAGGTGCACTGGGGGACTTCCCCAGCGGTCCAGTGGTTAAGACTCCACATTTCCACTGCAGGGAGCACGCACGGGTTCAGTCCCTGGTCAGGGAACTCAGATCCCGCATGCGGCTCAGCGCAGCCAAAAACAAATAAATAAATAAGAGGTGCACTGGGTACTCTGTGTACACAAACCTCTGCTGAGGCTCTCGTTGAAAATGAGAAAAGACAGGAAAAGAATGTTGTCATACAAAAGGCAGAGGTATGTTGTGTGAATGAATCTTGGTCAAGGGAGAATTGAACAGCAAATCAGTGCCCAACAAGCCAAAAGTCTAATTAGTCTAAGATGCATCTAGTAAGCATCCCTGTGTTTCCTTTTTTTTCCTTTCTGTCTTCTGTTGTGTGGGTATGTTTCTTTTTACTTTCAAAAAACATACAATCTTACTTTAATCCCAAAGTCATCATGGCTCAAAATAAGATAAAACATTCAAAAGAATGGTTCAGAGACTCCATGCATAGCCTAATTTAAGCCATTTCCACATTGTTCTGCAGGGGCTTAGCCCAACTGTAAAAGGTCTCATTTGGAAGAATTATGACTTTCAAGTTTCCTAAGACTTGACGTTCCTTAGAAAAATCTGCATTCAATACAACAGCCATTGTTCATGTGAGAAACCTCTGACTTGACTCAGAATATCCACGATACCAGCTTCAAAGCATCAATCAAGCCTACTTATCTTCAAGGCCAGGCCCCAAACGACACCTCCTCTTTGATGACTTTCCCACTTAGACAGGACACTGCTTCCACCATGACCCACAGCATGAGAATTTCAACAACAGCGAACTGGCTGATTCTATCCCAGGGGCACAAGAACACGCTGGCAACCCAAGAAGCACACAAATCAGTGGACATGCCTTTAGTCAGCCATGTCTAAACAATTCTGCTTTGTTCTTAGAATACCTTTGTATTTACTTTAAAAGTAGGGGTGTGTGTGTGTGTGTGTGTGTGTGTGTGTGTGTGTACACAGCAGGAAGGCAAACATTGTTAGATGAAGAATTAGCAGCAGAATCCTACAAAGAGGAGAAATCTGCCTTAGTTTAACAAGATACTTTTATTTGCCAATTTGGTTGTAGAAAGATAAGGCTTCAAGGTATGGCCATGATAAGCTGGGAAGGAGGAAAATAAATCAGCAGATGTTTTGGAACTGGGGAAGGCAAGCTATAAAAGAAAAGACAGATATTCAAGGAAAAAGTATGGACAGTAAGGAAAGGAGACTGGAGCCCAAACAAAAGAGGGAAACAGTGAAATTTTCCTGAAGGCAAAATATCTAAGACCTTTTAAGAACAAAGGGAGCTTAATAGTTCATTTTATGTTATTCACTGTGCTTCCCTGAAAAGTAATCATCTCCATTGACGGTAAACCTTCAGTGAAATCTGCTATGCAAGCCCCGACTCAATAGAACGATAATGTGAAAAGACTAGAGGGGGGCTGTCCCTGAAAGGACAAAATGATGTTGAAGAAGAAGAAGGAAGAGGAGGAGGGAAGGGGGAGGGGGAGCAGAGAATAGAGGAAAGAGAAAGGGTACAAAGACAGAGAAAACAGCAGAAGCTGAAACACAAAGCCAGTGGTGACTAGAGAAAATATAAGCCATCCCCCAAGGATCCCTGGAGATTCTGGTGGGGATGCTGGATATTCTATTGTATTCAGGTGATGGATCAAGCTACTTTTATTTGACTCTTAAAGAGTCTGACCTCAACTAACTCAGGGACCTAAGGATCACATGGAAGAAGCTGACATAAAGTTTAAACAAAAGCCAAAGAGTCTCATGCTCTAGAGCCTCTCCATCATGGGTTGTCTCCTCTCAGTTGGTAACGTTCGTGCTGCTCTCCATGTCACCAGGGAAGATGAGTGGCAGCAGGTTAAAGTAACTGTGGGCTCAAGAATCACAGAGACTCATGTTCAGGTGTCAACTTCATAGCTCACTAGCTGTGCTACCTTCTAGGAATCTACTTGCTTCTCAGTACAATAAAACTAAGAATGGCACCTACATTACACATCAGAATTCTATACTTAGCACCTGTATGTCACAGCCTCTTGAGAAAACTAAATGAGAAGAAGTATATACAGTGTTTTCACATGGTGCCTAGCACATAGCAATTGCTCAAAAAGAAATAGCTAATCCTCCTTTTTTATTGACTATTAATCATTATTCCCTTCCAAACCTCTCGTTTTTGGCATGTTACCCTCCTGCTTGTTTTTGCCTCTAAAAGTACTGGGTTGGCCAAAAAGTTCCTTCACTTTTTAAGTAAAAATAAAAGACACGTTCTTCATTTTCACCAAGAACTTTATTTTTTTAAATTTATTTATCTTTTTTTGCGGTACGCGGGCCTCTCACTGTTGTGGCCTCTCCCGTTGCGGAGCACAGGTTCCAGACGCGCAGGCTCAGTGGCCACGGCTCATGGGCCCAGCCACTCCATGGCATGTGGGATCCTCCCGGACCAGGGCACGAACCCCTGTCCCCTGCATCGGCAGGCGGACTCTCAACCACTGCGCCACCAGGGAAGCTCTTCCACCAAGAACTTTATTCAACAACATATTCACCATTTTGTTCCACTACCTTCTGCCATTTTTCAGGCAACTTCATAATTCCATCTTCCCAAAACTTTTTATCTTTTTGAGCAAAGAACTGTTCCAGGTGTCTTCCAGGGAACTGAAATTTTTTCCATTAAGGGAATTTTGTAAAGACTGAAATAAATGGAAATCTGAAGATGCAATGTCTGGTGAATACAGTGGATGAATCAGAACGTCCCAGCCAAGCTGTAACAGTTTTTGCCTGGTCATCAAAGAAACATGCGGTCTTGCGTTATCCTGATGGAAGGTTATGCATTTTCTGTTGACTAATTCCAGACGCTTTTCGCCGAGTGCTGCTTTCAGTTGGTCTAACTGGGAGTAGTACTTGTTGGAATTAATCGTTGGGTTTTCCGGAAGGAGCTCATAATAGAGCACTCCCTTCCAATCTCACCATATACATAACCTTCATCACCTTCTTTGGATGAAAACCAGCCTTTGGTGTGGTTGGTGGTGGTTCATTTCGCTTGCCCCACGATCTCTTCCATCCCACATTATTGTACAGTATCCACTTTTCATTGCCCGTCACAATTTGTTTTAAAAATGGAGCATTTTCGTTACATTTAAGTAGAGAATCGCATGCGGAAACACAGTCAAGAAGGTTTTTTTCACCTACCTTATGTGGAACACAAACATCAAAGCGATGAACATAACCAAGCTGGTGCAAATGATTTTCAGCGCTTGATTTGGATATTTTGAGTATGTCGTCTATCTCCCGCATGGTATAACATTGATTGTTCTCAATTTCTCAGTTTGATCGCTATCAACTTCAACTGGTCTACCCATCGTCCAGCAAGACATCTCCAGCACAAAACTTCGCAAACCACTTTTGACACGTTCATGTTACAGCACTTTCTCCATACACTGCACAAATCTTTTTTTGCGTTTCAGTTGTGTTTTTACCTTTTTTGAAATAATAAAGCATAATATGCCAAAAATGTTGCTTTTTTTCTCCCATCTTCAATATTAAAATGGCTATACAAAAATTCACCAATTTTGATAAGGTTTTTTTATTTTAAAGCACGCTGATATGACAGCTGTCACAATACAATCTAACAAAATTTTTTGAATGAAGTTAAAGACAACTAAGCACTACTAGAGCCATCATATGGAAAAAACCAAACGAACTTTTTGGCCAACCCAATTACACTATATTCCTCCATGTGCGTTTACTTCACACGCCTTTAAAATATATTGCTACTGAGTGTCAGATGCCCAGTTAAAGATGGTTTCCCAATACTGTTCTCCCCACAAGGGGCTATTATCCCAGGTTGTCCAGTGTACCGGGTTTACAGATACATGGGAAGACAAGAGAAAAGAAAGCTCTGTGGAGGCCCAGAAGAGAGACAAACTCTGTACACACCTTACACTCGGGTAATCAGAAGAAGGCATTGTCTCTAAGAAGCCACGAAATAGCACAATTTGAGAACCTCAAGATAACAAAGTGGATGACGACTCTCAGCAGAAACTCCAAGAATAAATTACATTGTTCTTTGACCTGCAAACAGTCACTCACCCAAACATTTGGGGCAGCACTGTCCTGGGGGAATGTGGCTAAGGTGCTGAGGACAGGAGAGAATGGGACAGACTTCTCTCACGCACTGTGTCCTGCCTCCCTGAAGAAAAGAGAAAGAGAAAAAAGCACATTTAGAAAAGTACTTGCATATATATATTGTCTAACCAAGATATGTGGAACAAACCTAGGCCTTTCCTGGTGCTGGGTCGCTGGGGTGACTGCTCAGATCTGTGCAATTGTCCCCAGGCATCCTTTGATCTTCCCTGTAAGCCCCATGAATGATACCCATGAGAAGACCGACCACCCCTAAAGAGACGGCTACAGTATCACCTCTCCCCAGTCACCACCACCTTTCTTTACCTTTTCCCCTCTTAAGACCAGCCAACCATCTCAGTTTGCCTGAGATTTGAGGCTTTCAATACTAAAACCAGGGAAGTCTCGGGCAAACCCAAACAAGGTGGGCTCTCTTTCCAAGCCCAATGCAACAAAGCAACTATTGGGGTTTTACTGAGATGTGTCCTCTTCTGTCCTGCTGACAGCTTCCTCCATGAAGGCTTCCCTTTTGGCCACACCTTAAAGGTGTTGCTAGAGTGGCTCAGCAAGGCTCGGATTTGGGGAAGTTAGCCAATCTGCTGAAAATGGATACACTGAAAGCCAATGTTCGGAAGAACCATTCCACTGAAGTCGCCCAGCTAACCAATCCTGTGTCGATTAAGTAAGTAGAAGGTTTATGATTATCGATATTAGAAGGGCTGGCAGAGCTTTAGCAGCCTTGGAAGATGTTCTAGAGCCTTCAAATCTTTCCCTGCCCCTCATCCTTGACCCTTTCTGTCCTCCAGCATCTATCACCTCTGACACCCATTCCTTTCTTCTCTTCCTCAGCATCCCTCCTTCTCTGCCCGTCAGCATCTCTCGCCTCTCCAGGATGTGAAGATGAGCATACCAACTCCCCCTTCCCTATCCCTCAGCAGGGACCCCTGTTTTTCCAGCCTCAGCAACTTGTAACTGAATCTTCAGAAAGCTGGAGCAGAAAAAAAAAAAAAGTGCTTTCCAGTCAATTTACATCCAATAACTCTGCAAGGCTCGTGTGAAAACTATCCTGTGCACTACGAATTGCTATCAAATTTGGGAATAATTAAGGTTTTTTTCTTTAGAAAAAGCAGTAAGTTTGGTAGATAGATCACTAGGCAAATGGAATTTCAATGAATTGGCTTCTCTAGGATTTGAGCTAGAAACCAAACTAGTAGACCCTAAAAAGTACCCATTGTCTCAAGCCTGGAATTTCTATCTCGAGAGACCTCAGGAAATGAGGAGCTCACGCTTCAAAGAGTCCTGGGCCTCGCAAGGGAAAGATTCCCTCGTGGCGTTTCCTCACACCTTCCCCAGCACTTTCTGTATTGACACCAGGCATTAGCCGTCTGGATCCTTCCCATCCTAGCATACTACTGTCGCCTGTTGTTTCTGCTTTCCCTTCCTGTTCTTGCCATTTTCATTATGATAGTTTATTTTTTGGTAGGAATGGATGAAAAGGGTAGGGCACGTTATGTCTTTTTAAATATTTATTATTTTTAAGCCACTTTAATGTTGGCTTCTTCCCCAAACCAATAGAAAACACACGAAAATACCACAAAAAGCTCTTCTGTTGTTTTTACATTATTTCCAGATCAGCAAGAATCGCTAAAACTCTCCTAGGAATCCCTGGCTGTTCTCAGTGAGGTTCCTCACTCAACTCTGCATAATCCTGAAGTCTGGCCTTTCACCAGACTTCAGAGGCACATAACCTGAGTCTAGGTCATACTGTGAGGTCTGCCCCAGCTTATACATAAACCACAAAAGTCAAATCTAGAGGGAGGACAGAATGCTCTCTTTAGCTTTTAACTTCAAAGAAGTTCATCTGCCAGCAACTTCCTAAAATCATGAAGCCTTGGGCCACACGAAGTTGCCTGGGTGTCAGCTTCTCTTAGGTGCACAGAGAACGTATTCTTTTCATGGATATTCTCTGTTCTTGTTGGATAAGCATCTATTTTTCAAGCATATTTTAAAATGAAAATTTAAGAAAAATATTGCATAACTGCATAGCCGTTAACTTGTCCAACACAATGGAAAGCTGGCCAAAGACTGTGTGTACTCCAGTAATTTTCCTTACAATAAGGTCAAAGAGAGAATTTTGCATACATAATACAACTGCAGTTTGTGTTTCCCAAGGGTCTGTTAAAGTAACTTGAACTCCAATCTGGGTTTGCTGGTTTGGTCAGGTTTTATTTTGTTTGGGTTGCAGTATTGTAGCATAGCCCAAGTCCCAAGGCTGCATTCCAATTAATACCTCCAAAGAAAGTCCCAGGCCCTTTCGGCTCACAACCTGCTTCTGTGATTTCAACTCAGCAGGGACTCTGGTTAAACTATAAGCTGGGGCTCTGCTGTAAACTAAGAAAGTTAAAATAGCAGAAATAAATATGTCTGGTTCTAAAAATGTACTAATTCCTATTGTAACCGCACTAACTCAGGCTCTATCAGATTATCGCCATCGCTTTCTAATTGGCTTCCCTGCCTCAACTCTCTTGCACTAAACCATCCTGGGAGGTTCAATATCTCCAAGACTCCTTTCCAGCATCCAACCACTGTTTCATTCTTTGATCAAAGACTTATTCAAGGTCTACCATATGTTGGGGATACAGCAGTGAATATAACATACAAAAATCATTCTTTATGGAGCGTGCCCCCATGCTAAGGTGGGGGATGACTTACCACTGCATTCAGGAGGAAGTTCAGCCCACTTAAGCTAAAAGTCAATGTAGAAGTGAGTATGTGTGTGTAGAATCCTTTTTCTCCTGACACAGAGCCCATCTACATTCCTCAGACTCCCTTGCAGCTAGTGGTGGTCAATGGGAGGTAGATGAAAATAATGTAGAACACTTCCAGGCCTGACCCATAAAAATCTCTCCCATTCAAAGCACCACGCTCTCACTTTCTCTCCCTACTGGAAGGAGAGCCAGCTGAATGGTGAGAACAGCAAGAACCTTGCAACAAAGTGAAAGAGCCTGCTTCTCTGAGTCACCATGTGGAAATCTACCCACTAAACACACGCAAGGAACTGTTAAATGAGCAAGAAATAAATTTTATTTTGTTAAAACACGCAGATGCGTTAGTTCTTTGTTACTGCAGTTAGGCTACTTTGTCAAGATACCCCATAATCTTCTCTCTCATCTCCTTTCCTCCCAACACCAACACAGAGAGAGGGTTCCTGTGTATCTTGTTTCTTTCCTGTCCCCAAGAACATCTTATGCCTTCTATCTTCTTTCTACATGCCTCTTTCCCTCTCTCCCCCCATCATTAACCCCTATGGAAATCGGGCTTCACTCAAGGTCTATTTCACACCTCTTCTCATCTGTGAAGTCTTCTAGATGCCTTCAATTCCCAGTAACCTCCTCCATCTTCCCATACCTCTTCTTTTCTCATCTGTATTCCTGTATTTTTGACACATACATAAACGTTTAACCCTGAGAGACAACACTGGTTTTGCCTCTAAGCTAGATGATGGTATGGGGAGGAACCAGTCCTTTGAACCTAATATCCTTCAAGAGAGTAATGGGGGCTTCCCTGGTGGCGCAGTGGTTGAGAGTCCGCCTGCCGATGCAGGGGACACGAGTTCGTGCCCCGGTCCGGGAAGATCCCACATGCCACGGAGCGGCTGGGCCCGTGAGCCATGGCCGCTGAGCCTGCGCTCCGCAACGCAAGAGGCCACAACAGTGAGAGGCCTGTGTACCGCAAAAAAAAAAAAAAAAAAAAAAAAAAAAAAAAGGAGAGTAATGGGCTCAAGGAAGCATCTCAGTAAAAATTCGTTGAATGAAAGGAAGAGCCGCCACACAGAATGAGCTCCAGAATCCAGATGAATTTTTCAGAGCACTTTAACTACAGGGTGCTGATCAGAAGGCAGAATTCAGGTCTGTCTGCATCCCCTTACCTTTGTATCTCCTTGGGTTTTGAATATTTTGGGTACCAATTAAATGTTGGTGCTGATACTTCAAAAAGCAACACTCAACTTCAATTTGTAAAGCTGGTAGGATTCCTAGTATTCCATGTATTTTTGTCAAATGTTTGAAAATTTCTAAATGGTTAAAATGCATAGGGACTAATGCCTATTCCCATCTGGTCAACAAGAAAAGGCAAGCTAGGAACTTCCACCATACTGGTGAGTTACAATTTTCACCATTTGCCATTCCTTGAGAAGGCAAGTTTGTTCTTTAGAAGTGGTCCTTTGTTCTAATTACATATGTGAGTGCTTCTCCAAAAGTAGCTGTTTTTAAAAGAAAAACATGAAACTTGTTCCAGGTCTATTTTCTTATTTTTGTTTTAGCTGATTTAGTCAAGAACACAATTGCTCTGTGTCAAAGTTTACCCTAGAGCAAGAGTTCTGTTGCATAATAATAATAAAAAAAATCTATCTTCCTGAATATAGTGATGAGTGCAAGATGATAAAACCACAGCCATGTGCATGCAGGATGCTTCTCCCACCCCTGAGGGCTGCTGAGAATTGGGGGCTGGAAACCTTTCTGTAGCATGTGACATGGCACTCATCCCTTGACCGGGAAACAGAGTGTGGGCCCCTAACGGGAGGCGGGGGGAAGCACAGCAGTGCATTGCTAACCGGTTACAACCAATCAGCTACACTCAACCACATTCTGGAGCAGTTTTTTTTTCCCAATGTGCAATTGCTTGAAGAAAATGGACTTCTCCATTGATTCTAGATAAACATGGGGAAAGTGGGAGAGAAAAACTGGAGGGGTTAGTGTAGGGGAGAAATACATCTTGGGTGCAAAGAGTTCATGTGTGACCCATAACTCTTACATCATAATAGCCAGTGGTATAGAGCTGACTTGTGAGCAGAGCACCAACTCTGAATTACAGGTTAGGTCAAAAATCTTTCCCCAAAGAAATGGATGTCCTTATCCATGCCCCTCTTCAACCTGGCAATTTATTTTGGTAAAGTTGCGGAGCATGACAATTACTCCAGGGGTAAAGGACTTGGTTCTTGGCCAGTGCAGAATAGGAAATCCAAGCAGAAGAGAGGCAGCAGGAGAGCTGTGAGGCTGAGGGAGCAGA